TACTACCCCGTTCCCGGAGCTGGCGTGTCCCAACAACCCCCCAACCCCCCCCCCCCTCCAGAGTCCCACCCCTAATATCCCCGCAAATCCTCAAAACGATGCCCCTCTTCATCCTCGCCATGACCGCCTGCCTCTTCGCCTTCTTCAACTACCAAAAGCAAGAATCCTCCGTCGTAACCGCAACCCTCTACGCTTTACGCACAAACCCGCTCGTGCGCGAGCAGCTCGGCGACGAAATCTACTTTGCGAGTAAATACCCGTGGATCAAGGGCGAGATCAACCAGTTGCATGGGCGCATCGAGATCAGCTTTTGGGTTAAAGGGACGAAGAGGGCGGGTGAGGTTAGGTTGACGTGTAGGAGGAGGGGCAGGGGTGGGCTGTATTATACCAAGGAGTATAGTTTGACGTTGGAGGATGGGACGAGGTTGGAGCTTTATGATCCACAGGGGAATGCTATCGATCCGTTTCAGGCGATTGCTGTGGAGGAGTAGAACAAGAAGTGGATGGCGGGGATGCCGTGGGTGTTATGGGGAGAACAGCAGCTCTGATCTACGAGGGGTGTGGATAGCTAAGGATTGGACAATGCGAAGGCCAACAGCTCGACACGTTCCGGCTGTTGGCAAGCACTTTCGCAAAGCACCAAGTCAGGAAAGATCAGCGAACTCTCACGCTGTGTACCATATGTAAATATATATGCGCATCACATATCACTAAGATGCAATGACGGATCTAGTCATGAAATAGCAATACTAAATATTGCTAAGAGAGGAGTACATACTAGTAAGAACCCCAGAAAAGAAAATACCGCTTCCAATGAAGGACAGCTCGCTCGACAGATAGGCGTCCTTCTGGAGCGTCAACTATAGTAGTCTCAAGGTGCCAAACGCCAATGCTGTGTGTAGCAGTATGCTAATGTAACAACTTAAAGAAAAGAAAAGAAAAGAAAGTGGTATCATAGTAATCGTACTCCATCCTCACAACCTCCCCCACCCCACATCCCTTCAAGTCCAGTCCACCTAAAACTTCTCATAATCCGCCTCAGGCCTCCTAACACTAGGATGATGCGCCAAATTCGGCTTAACAAGATGAGCAAACTGCGGGTTAACATTCAACGGATAGCTAATCTCCGGCATGCGCGCAGTCTCCTCCTCCTGCTCCTCGCGCTGGCGCTGCCAGAACTTCTTGCGTGCGGGCTCGCCCGACGTGGTGCGCGAGTAGATGGAGCTGGAGGGGCGGTGGTGCGAGAAGAAGCTGGGTTTAGCTGGTGACTGGCTGTGGTAGGAAGGGAGGAAGGACTGGCGGGCGTTGCGGAAGGCGCGGAGGGGACTGAAGTCGAATTGCGAGAGGCGGTTTGGGTCTTCCTTGGTGGGGGACGGGACTTGAGGGGAGCCGCAGTCGACGGGTGGGGTGCCTGTGCGCATGGGGGGTGGGCTGTTGTTGAAGTTGCTGCGTGAGGAGGTGCTGCCTGTGTGGTGCGTGGTTATGGTGAAGGCTTTGTGCTTGGGGTCGTATTGGGATTGTGTCTCGGCGTCCTCGTGGAGGGTCATGGCGCCTCGTGAGCGGACCATGCGGGCGGTGATTCGCCGGGACTTGTCGCGGAAGACGAAGCTCGCGACGATGTTGAAGAAGCCGATGACGATGGCTAGGATGCCAGAGGCAACGAGTAGGCGCCAGAAAGGTAGGGTGAGCGACTCTTGGCTCGTGGCTTCCTTGTTCATGTTACCGAGCATGTTGAGCCCGACTATCATCATCGCGCAACCTAGAGTCACGAAGCCATGCGAGGGGCTCAGGAGTGGCCAGTTGCGGGCGTAGAAGTTGCGGAATAGCGAGCATTCTGAGACGATGAAGAAGAGCCCGGCGATTGCGGTGATCACATGGCTCGTGGCATCGAAGAAGAAGAACTGCCTATGTGAGCTTTTGCGAGTCTCAAGAGTAGGTTTTTAGACGTACCTTGGAGATGATAAAGGTCTTCACCAGCATGACCACGCTGCTGGCGACCACGGAAGCGAGAGCAATGATGTTCAGACCGCGCAAAACGTTGAGGATAATGTAGCCCGGACCAGCCAGGTGTTCGGCTGAGAGAAGCGCCATTTCGTTCGTGTAGAGAGAGTCGTAGGATACTGAATCGTCCAAGTTCGTAGAGAGATACAATTGGTCTGTCCAGCAGTCGCGTCGAGCGTAGGGGTAAAGAAGAGAGAGAGAGAGCGTATAGATTGAACAAGTTAAGTTTACGAAGATAAATGTAAAAGGGAGTGTCCCACGCCGTCAAGGCAGCAGCACGCCTTCAACAATAGTAACAATAACGAACAATAGAGACGTGAAGACTGAAGATAAAATGGAGAAGCAAGAACTCCAGGTGAAGGACGAGGGGAGCCTCAGGACATAATTCGCCGCTAGCCTGACCTGCCCATAGTCGCGAACCTTACAATAGAATCCAATGTCGACCATCGCGCTGGGAAAGGCTCGTCGCCTCACCTTCGAGTGGCCCAAACGACTCCAGCGACCGTAGTCGCGCCCGTACTACCGGCCCATGTGAAACGCTCCCCGCTAGACTCGGCGGGAACGGCACTGCGAGAGGGCGGCCCAGTCAATCATTTTGCAGCGAGCAGACTCGGCTGCGAAATTGTTGCAAGGCATCGTACAGGGTCAACGTGGGGTTTTGGCATCCAGCCGATGAGGCGCGGTTTGGTCGAGGTGTGGCAGTCGCGTAATGATTGGTGTTGACGCCTTGAAACGCGCTCGCGTAGCCGCAAGGGCCGTGTTTCAGAGCTAGAAACATCCGCACGCCATGGGCTGCACCACCGCGGGCGGCAAGACATAAGCGGGCCTTCAATCGTTGGTAGCCCGTCCGTCCAATATGAGGCGCCACAGTCTCGGAGTCGTTGTTTTGGGGTGCGTGCAGTGGAGATGGAAGGCGCGAGACTGGCGGGTACATAGGGCGCCAAGCGAGGGTCTGTCAGCAACGGAAGTTTGTTCCAAGTGCGCTCCACATGCTCGTCCTTGATCAAACCATCATCGGCTTGTAGAGTCTTGTAAAGGGCCGGAGACAGGATGTTTAGTCACCACAGCGGATGTATGCGTCACACATGTCCAATCAACGGGTAAAGAGATATCATCATATTGCAGTCCAAGAACAATAGGGTATGATGCGGTAAAAGACCATACAGTGCGCCAACAACCGATGGTTCAGTTGATAGTGAGCTCTCCCCCAAACACTTTGCCCACTCGATATGCCTGCCGCGAGCGGGGCAGTCGACCATTAACCTAGAAAGATTGTCAGTCCACTGCTCTATTACTCTGAAAGACCGGCTATGGTGACTTACCAACGTAACATTTCGAAAAACCAGTTCGTTGCCGTCACTGAAAGGGCGAGTATTGGTCGGAAGATTGAAGACCTGTAGCAAAGACTGATTCTCATCGCGATCGTTCGGAGCAGAGTCGCGACCCGCCGTTGATCTCTCCGCTGTGTGATGAGACTTCCATGCACCATCGCTTTCATCATGAATATCCTCCCGCCCGTATTTTCGCACATGTGCCAAACGCCAGTTCGCTCCAAAGAATTGCTTCCGTGATGGCCTAGCCTTGATCTCTTCAATCTTTGCAGCCTTCTCTTCCGATGTCATGGTCTCAATTGACGGCGCTATATTGGGCGAGTATGCACTCCGGAAGTCCGTTCCGCGTTGGGCTTCGAGATCGTCGACAGGCGCCCTTGTCAGACGTGAGACAGTAGCACGCTCGAATGGGTTGTATCCTGGTTCAACATCTGTACTAACCTCCTCCATCATTGGTGTCGGTAGAGAATCGTGAGTTATAGCATTCCGGCGGCTTGGTGCACTCTTGATAGCTCGGGTAGTTCTTCTCTTGATCTGCGTTGGCTGTTCATCCTGGATTCCCTCGTTCTGCATGACATTGTCCGCTACAGCACGCTGTAATGTAATCTTCATGGCATTCCCGTGACCGTCCTGGGGTCCCAGTACTGGAGGCAAAGGAAGGTACTCGTGGTACTCTTCCTCGTATTTCGCCCTATTGGCTGTGCTAGTAAAGTTGTACACAACCCGTTCATATGGCCGTCCTGAAGGCTTCACGCCGTAGAACTCAGGTTGATGGGAGAGAACTGACTTAAGACTCTTCTCCCAGGCGCCTTGGCCTTTTTTCAAGTAGGAGAATCTCAAAGCCAGCCAGTCGATTATCTCCAACGCGGTCATACCTGTGCCTTGTGCACACACCAGGGCTATCCTAGCTAAATCGCGGTTTGTGTGACGCTTCGTTGGTATAGACGGACCTGAGTGTGCTTCGATTGGGCTTTCAAAGATATTGGAATCTCTTTCAACCGTCTCATTCGACTTTGAAACCGCTGACTCTTGTTCCTTGGCCGCTGCAGGGGCAGCTCGATCCGGCAAACAATTGGTAGAAGGGTGCTTAGGCGACATGTGCGTACCCACTTCGGTAGGTTCAGGAATAGTGGATCCCGGATTCCGAGATTCGTCTTCTCCTAGCAGATCTGAATTATGTGTTGAGCCGGAACGAAAAACATAGGGACCGGACGTTCGTGCTAAGTCGTCGAGATCTGACGTCTCAGCGGGTTGGACAGAGCGCTCTCGCGGCTCATTGACTCGTGGTACTGATGCGCTGTTGGACGATGAACGTTCCGGGATTATCTCGTTGGGTGACATGGTCTTCTGGCCAAGAGTTTCAGCAATCGACGTTACTTCTATCGGCGCACTCTGCTCAAGGGAGGTTTCTTGTGAAGTGACCAAGGCATCTGGAGCTGGGGTATCTGCGGAGGATAAGCCAGGCAGAGCATTTTCACGAACCTTCCCTATATCCGGCAGGATCTTTGCCCGATCTGGATCGGAACAGGACAAGGGGCTGGTCTTGGCCGTTGTTGACCCAGGCTTGTCCTCTGACATGGGCGGAACATGTGTTGAGGAAACTATTTCCACTTCATGATTACCTAATCTTGCAGCTGATGGATGACTGATCGAATTTGCCGAGCTCGTTGGCAGGAGTGACGCATGACGACGAGCGGTGTCAACATCCGGAGTCTCCGGTATCTCATGTTGGCCCATTTCTGCAATACGTGATTTTGTGCGACAGCCGGGACTATACATCGATCAGACTTGTCTGGAATAAAACATGCACCCACGTACCAATGAGCATCTTTCTCTCCGGCCTTGACTAATGCTGTCTGTTTTCGACATCCCGAGCAAAGAGCTGTGAAGGGGACCTGGTTGTGAGTGTGGCTCAGATCATCGAGGGCCAATGCATCCTCATCATCTTGCGTAGAGGTGTTTTGTTGGGAGACACGGGCGTTGGGAAGGTTTTCTGGTAAATGCTCGGGTATAGAACTGTCAAACTGGCTCGACCGTTGTGATGGTGTGTTCGGAATCTCTGTGCGCTCGAGCAGCTTTGGTTCAAGTGGCTGAGATGGGCCCAAAACATCCTTGGGTTTATTGAGATTGACAGACGTGGCAGCACTCGGAGTGGTCAGGGCGATCTCAGGCTCCACACGCTTTTCAGGAATGACCTCTGGGACACGATCTGGTGGCACGGCATTTGGAACTCGGTGGGCGAATCTCGGTTTCAACAATTCTCTCACGACAGAGTGACTAGCGGGGGCCGGTGCTGAGGACACGCTGGAAGGCTTACGTGTTCCGATATCACTCAAGCATGCTGAGCATCGCCACTGTAGCCTGTCTTCTTTAGCCTTTATTTATCATGAAGATGCGAGCACCTTACGGATTAGTGCCCGGGGCAAGCGGAGGCTTTCGACAGCTATCATGGTATGATCTAGAGCATCCCGAGCATGCGACTATCGGGTTATAGCTCGTGGCACTGGATTTATCACAGATGAGACAGGTAGCTTTAGGAAGTGAACCGGACTTCGAGGGCTTTCTTGATTGAGATACATGGCGCCTTCCTGAGATATCGCGGGCGTTCCGGTTTACATGTGGTTGAGGAGCAGTTGGTGCTGGGAACGATTTGGAGACCGGTATTCCCCCCGCGTTCCGGTTACTTTGCGCAGTCGAGGCGGCTACAACGTGTTCATTAAAGCTATAGTACTCGTCAGTACAGTTAAGTATTCTTCAACATCATCCGTACCTGTGCGTGATTGCGCTAGGGTCAGTCGAAAGACCTGCCTTTTGAATCGTCGAGTTGGGCTTGCCGGATGTTGTACGTTGACGCTTCAGTGGAGGCGGTGATATCACACTCTTTCGGCGCGGCTGTGTGTGACTTTGGCTCACGGTGGGAGGCTTCTCTGAGACTTCCTTGTCGACAATGCCAGGCCGACCATGATGTGGCAGCTTGGGACGAGGTTCAGAAAGCGCCTGTTGTTCACTCTCATGATCCTCCATTTGGAATGTTGGACGGAGGTAGAAGCTAGTACCTATCATAGTACATGAATGTTAGCGTGTACTCTTGGATTATCGTTGAAAAAGTCAAGCGACAATGAACGATGTGGACCAGTTCTCTTCAGTTTGTTTGTTGCATGGCAGCATCTCGCTGCACTGGAGGCTTCCGCTTTCTTTCTTCAACGGGCAAGCACGCGCAAACAGTGAAGGCCGCGACATACTAGGCCACGCAGCAGGCGCAAAGGCAAACCATCTCAGTGTTCTCAGCGATCTAACCTTTTACCAATGGTCATCATGCGAGAAGGGATCCGCGTCAGTTGTCAGTGCTTGATTACTTACTTGCTGTGTGGTTCAATCCGCTGACCCGACTCGGAATAGAGTGGGCTTAGTCCGGAGAGACGCGTCTAGGACAAGGTGCCGCTTCCGCGCGACATACGGGAGAAGACGATGTGAGAACAGCCTGCGAGCAGCCATGCGGAGTTTGTGATTTCTCATGCGTGTGGGTGAGAGAACGATGCGAGGCGGCAAGTAAAGGCGAGAGTGCGCCGATTGTTGTGTCGTCCGGTGTTGAGGACGGAAAGAATCAAGGGCTCCAGGGCTGTGCGTTGAGCGTGGATCGCGCTATCACGTGCCGATGATCCGGTGGGGCAGGCGCATCTGGCCTCTACGTGCACTTGCATGTGCTTGCGGTACAGATTCACCAAAGTTACAGCAGCGCTATGAATTTTCTCAAATCAGCGGTCGCATCTGCGATATCGCAAGGCCCGGCCTTTGGTTACACATTTGGGGATCGGGTCGATTTGAACGACTCCATCTGGACACTGCACAACGGCACAAAGCGAGTATGGCCCGGAGGTCTGCCTGTGCGCGAACACCTGCTAACGTACGCCTGCTAGGAAGACGGCTCTAAATGCAGCATCTTCTCCTTCGACATAACCGCCAACAAGTCGCGACTGCCCCTCGCTCGCAATGCGCTCCGCAAACTACGCACCCTGCGTCATCCAGGAGTCGTGAAGGTCTTGGACACGGTAGAGACGGAGACATATATCTACATCGCGACCGAACGACTCAGCCCACTCAGCTGGCATGTTAAGAGGAAGAGTCTGACAGAAGAGACCACAAAATGGGGGCTACACAACATTGCGAAGACGCTCAAGTTCGTGAATGCCGATGCTGCGTCGATACACGGCTGCATCCGCCCAGCCTCTATATTCTTCAGCGAGAGCGGGGAGTGGAAACTTGGCGGCTTCGATGCGCTGAGCTCTGTGAAAGAGGACGATTCAATAATACCCACGTATGGCGGTCTCATACCGGATGCGGGACGATACATGGCTCCTGAGGTTTCGAAAGGAGGGTGGGAGGTCGTTAAACAGAACCCGACACACGCCGTAGATGCATACAACTATGGTATCCTTATCTTCGAGGTCTTCAACGGCAGCTACAACAGCAGCGACCAGCTAGGGCAAATGAAGAGCATTCCACCAAGCATGCACCAATCATACAAACGCCTCCTCAACCCAAACCCAAAGTCGCGTATGAGCGTGGGCCAGTTTTTGGATCAGGGAAAGCGGATCGGAGGCTTCTTCCAAACACCATTGATTCAAGTGACGGACGACATTGAGAATCTGGGATTGAAAGCTGAGGACGAGCGGAATGAGCTACTCGGGTAGGTGATTCCAGAATCCATTTCTAACCAGTGTACTGACCTATCATAGAAAGCTCGATGCGGTCGCGGACGACTTCCCGGCGGATTTCTTCAAGATGAAGGTACTTCCTGAACTACTGAAGTCTGTCGAGTTTGGGGGCGGAGGTGCCAAGGTATTCAGTACTGTCATGCAAATCGGACAGAAGCTTTCCGACGACGAGTACGAAACTCAAATCACACCGGTTGTTGTACGGCTTTTCGCAAACCCAGATCGAGGGATACGGGTCTGCTTGTTAGACAACCTGCCGCTCATGATTGATCATCTACCTCAGAAGCTTGTGAACGATAAGATTTTCCCGCAGATGGTAAGCGCCACTTCAATTTCTTGAACGAAATGCTAACATCGTCAGGTGACTGGATTCTCGGACATCGCACCGGTAGTGAGAGAACAGACAGTGAAAGCTATTCTTACCGTGGTACCCAAGTTATCAGACAGAACAGTGAATGGCGAGCTTCTTCGCCATCTAGCAAAGACGGCAAACGATGAACAACCCGGTATTCGGACCAACACTACAATCTGTCTAGGAAAGATTGCGCGGAACTTGGGCGCTAGTGTACGTCTTGATGTGTTCGACGTACAAAACAGACACTAACATGTTGACAGAGCCGAGCCAAAGTCCTCGCAGCCGCTTTCTCTCGCTCGCTACGTGACCCGTTCGTACACGCTCGAAACGCTGCGCTGCTTGCGCTGGCCGCAACAGCCGACCTCTTCACGGAAGATGACTGTGCGACCAAGCTGCTCCCCATCATGTGTCCTTCTTTGGTAGACAAAGAGAAACTCATTCGCGACCAAGCACAGAAGAGTGTTGACATCTACATTGCGCGGATCCGCAAGTTCGCGGCCACAATGCCGGATACCGTGCTACCATCACCAGGTCTCGCCGCTGGCGGGGGACCTACCCCACGGATTGGGACACCTGCAAATGATACCTCGTGGGCCGGCTGGGCCATTTCAAGCTTCACAAACAAGTTAGCATCTACAAGCGGCGAGATGCAGGCCAACTCTGTGACCAATGGAGCAGCGGATCAAAGATCGTCCTCTGTACCACCAGCCACCACAATAACCAGCAAACCACCAGTTCCCGTAGCATCAAAACCCGGAATGACTCTCCATAGCGCAAAGAGTACCGCCTCAATTCCTACCATCAAATCACCAGATCCAGCAGCGGCGTTTGATGACGAGGCAGAGGACTTCAACAATGACTGGGGCGGCTTCGCGGACGAAGAAGAAAATCCACAAGACGAGGAGGACCCATGGGGTACACCAGCCGTGTCGAAGCCAGCATCCACAACGTCATATGATGACAAGGGCGAGCCAGACTTCGCGGGATGGTTGGCAGCTCAATCGAATGCGAAGAAGCCCACGAAGAACGCTCTTCCAAAGGGTCTTACTAAATCAGCTACGCCAGCAGCAAGGGCTTCTCGACCGGCGGTAGGAAGCAGGTCGAGCACGACGGGAACAACGAGAAAAGTCATCGTACCGCCCAAGAAAGAGGTCAAGAAAGAAGAGCCGAAGGCGGATGAAGAAGAGGAAGGCTGGGGTGATGCCTGGGATTGATAAGGTATCTCGCAAATGATGTCGATTGTTCAGCATAGCGACGGCGTCTTTGAGATGGGTTGCACCTGATAGATCTCATTGCAAGATCGTATGACTAGTTTTAGAGATTACAATCTTAGGGATACATAATGTTACAAATGACGGCGTTTGTCGAGCTCTACGCTTTCTTCTCTTCCTTTTCCCGCTTGCCGAATGTGTAGGCTAGACCGCAACCTGCTACGTTGATCGCGCAGAGAGCGAGTGAGCCTCCTCTTACTATGCCGCGAGCGCTGAGCTTGTTCTTGATGCCCTGTTTTTGGTTAGATTTTGCCACTCTCAGTGTAGTCCGATGAAAGAATTCTTCGACGTGAAGGAATGGTTTAAACATACCTGACTTCTCCGCATAGCGAGCAATGCATACAGTCCACTCCATGCAGCCGTTATGCCAGCAGCATCGGTCTTGTAGTTGCTCAAGTTCAGGTAGGAGGAGAAGAGCAAGACGGGTGTGAACGTCATGGGGAAGAACTGGAACGGACGGGCATGTTGGGCTGTGATTAGGGTGGCGAGGAGCGTTGGCGGTACGGAGTTCTCTGTAGAAGAATGATTGAGTTAGTGACTTTGCCTCGATGTTTGTACAAGACAATGTGAGGCACGTGCGAGGAGGTGAATAAGGAAGTGATAGGATAGACGTACCTCCCCAATTCCTCAGCGATTGCAGCATGGAGGCTTTCGGTTGTTCGGGCATCGTGGGGTCTGGGTGTGCTGTTCAAGTGCGTAAAAGAATTGACGGATGGGTGAATATGTCCGGTGCTCAGGAACAAATGCGCGCAGAAGGGTACATGGGTTGAGATTGGGTGAAGACCATGACGTTGGTCCGGCAAGTGGACCGCCCGCCCGTGCCAACCCAGCACATGGAAACTGGCCTCCGGGACTCGCGAACTTCGACAGACAACAGATAACGCTTTAACGACTAATACCACCACAACCCCGTCACGGGACGATATTTGATTCACGCACACCCATCGCCATCGCCGCCAAATCATCACCAGCCGTCCACACTTGCGCATCGGCCTCCCACCCCCACCGCTGCCTGCCCCGGCAGCACAATCTCCCACCACAACACACCGATACCCCACAAACCGCCTCTCACACACGACACAATGTCGGGCAAAACCTCGGGCTCCGACGCCAAATCGCGAGACCACCACGACGGCAGCGCCGGCCGAGCCTTCACGGTCGAGCAAAAAGCCGCCGTAATACGCATCAAATCATGCGCGCCAACCGCCTACTACAAGATCCTCGGCCTGGAAGAAGTAAAAGCCAGCTGTTCAGACTCGGACATCAAGAAAGCGTACCGCAAGCTCTCCCTCCTCACGCATCCGGACAAGAACGGGTATGATGGTGCGGACGATGCGTTCAAGCTGGTCAGCAAGGCGTTCCAGGTGCTGAGCGATCCGGATAAGAAGAAGAAGTACGATCAATTTGGCGGGGATCCAGATGCGCGGTTTGATCCGAGGGCGCATGCGAGTGCGAATGGAGGGGGTGGTGCGAGTCCGTTTGGGAATGGGTTTGCGAGAAGAGGGGGTGGGTTTGAGGAGGAGATGACGCCTGAAGAGTTGTTTAGACAGTTCTTTGGGGGTGCGTTTGGAGGGCCTTTTGGTACGTTTTCCTTTGCCTGGAAACCTCGGTCTTGAAGTCGTGGTCCATACTGCACAACAGGAACAACAAGAAGACGCCAACAAACTAACACACCACAGGCGGCATGGACACAGGCCCAGGATTCGTCTTCAACCTCGGCGGCGGCCCCGGCGTCCGCGTCCACCAATTCGGCGGCGGCCGCCCGCGCAGACGCCCCGGCACCGCCGTCCCCCCCGGCAGCGAAGGCCAACAAAACCTCTCCTCCGCCTTCGCCAACCTGCTCCCCCTGCTCTTCCTCTTCGTCCTCCCCCTCCTCTCCTCCCTCTTCTCCGGCTCAACCTCCACCTCCGCAAGCCCCAACCTCGTCTTCGAAACACCGCGCTCACCCAACACACTCAAGCGCGTGTCCACGCGGATAAAGATAGATTACTACGTCGATCCCAAGGAAGTGCATGATTACACGCCGAAGAAGTGGCGCAAGTTGGATGATATCGCTGAGAATCAGTATGTGCATATTACGAATACGAGGTGTCAGAATGAGAGAGTGAGGCAGAGGAGGGCGATGGAAGAGGCGCAGGGGTGGTTTAGTGTCGATCAGGAGGCTATGAATAAGGCGCGGAATATGGAGTTGAAGAATTGTAATAAGCTGAGGAAGTTGGGCGTGGATGTTTACTAGATCAGGAGGCGGTTGAGATGAATGCGTTCTGGTTTTGATGAGGGATAGACTTTTGTCGTACGTTCGGCTGTACGTATCTTGATGGTGGAGGGTGGGAGGATTGGTTCTCAGAGGGAGTTGTTCCGGGGATATAATTAAGTCTCAGATGGACGCATGGCGCATAGAGGCGTATGGTAGCGTCGACTGCGCGTTCAGGCGCAGGATTCCCTTCTTGAGCGAGATTTACTCTATTCCCGTTCGCGTTCATATATACATCTATCCATACTCATCAAGATCCTGTCTATACCCCCCCACTCCAAGTCAACTAATCATACATATATACAAAATCTATCCTACAACCCACATCCACCCACCACACCCACATCTAAAACCCCCAAAACCTCGCCATCCTCATCTTAACCCCCTCCCAACTATTCAACTTGGGCCTAACATCCAAATAAAAATTCAACGCCTTCCCCACCTTCCCCTCATCCCTGCCCGCATAAAAATCAATCACATACTCAACCTTCGTCCCACACCGATCCACCACCCAATCATGGCGATCAAACGGCGGCTGATACCCCATCAGACTCTTCCACCTTGCCCGCGGCGTTAAACTCGTGCTCAACCCAGAGAAACTCGCCAATTTAGGCCCGCCGCATTTCTCGCTCCCGCGCCCGCTTTCCCAGCTCTTGATCTCGTGCCACGCGCGCTCGTTGACGGCGTTGTGGATGGGCACTATGGTGCGCATGTCTGGGGCGGAGGGGTCGTAGGATTTGCGGCGCATGGCGTCGAAGAACATTTGCTCGGACGGGTAGATCCAGTTTCCGGTTTTTTTGTCTGAGCCGGTGTCGCGCTCGTTGTTTGCTGGTCGTGCATTGGGTAAGGGTTGTGCTGCGATTTGGTCGGGGAGGGCGCGTGGTATTGTGCTTACTTCGCGGTCGGTGCCGAGGCGGATTTGCGAGAGGATGCTTGTGCTGCTTGGGGGTGGGGAGGTGGTGCTTTGGTCGAGCGTGGAGGAGTCGCAGGATTGCTGGACGGCGGATTGGGAGGGTGCTGGCGCGGCGGCGGCGGCGGCGGCGGCGGGTGTTGGGATGGGTGTGCTATGGGGAGTTGGTGGTGTGGAGCCGTTTTGGGCGCGGGCTTGAGCGAGCCATGCTTCGCGTGTCTTGTGGTCGACGGGGCAGGCGGCTGCTGGGTCGTCTTGCGAGGACATTGTGGTGGAGATGTGTGAGGTTGGTTTTGTCGGGTTCCGAGAAACTCGGGATGGTGACGGAAGCCATCGAGAAATGTTGGGCACGGGCCTTTGCGGGAATCAAGTGCGTCTGATTGGCTGGCCGTCAGCTACCGCATCCCACCGCTTTGGACAGCGTCAAGGTGTAGGTCTTTCTACCACCGGAGAATAGTCTGCGGTGGACGGCCAATTTTCAAGATTAAACCTGTCTAACCTGTCATTGCGCAAACAATTCCGCTGTCTTAACTTGCTGTCCTAGATCCGCGCTTTCTAGACCGCATCCAACTAGACCCTGCATATAAACATTAAACCCCACCAAGCCCCCTTGACTTTCACCGCTACCCTCAGTGTTTTGCTTCTTTCCTTCCCTTCTTTCTCCTATAGCAAACATCAACATGTCCGACATCCACCGTGCCAGCACCACCGCCCCGGTCAACATCGCCGTGATCAAATACTGGGGAAAGCGCGACCCCAAGCTCAACCTCCCCACCAACTCCTCCCTCAGCGTCACCCTTGCGCAGTCGGACCTCCGCACCCACACCACCGCGTCGTGCTCGTCCAACTACCCGAAAGAAGACACACTCCTCCTCAACGGCCAATCGCAGGATGTTTCTGGTGCTAGGACACAAGCGTGCTTCAGGGAACTGAGGGCACTGAGGAAGCAGCTCGAGGAGAAGGACTCCAGCCTCGCTAAACTCGCCGACCTCCCTCTGCGCATCGTTTCCGAGAACAACTTCCCCACCGCCGCTGGATTGGCTAGCTCGGCTGCCGGTTTCGCTGCTCTTGTCCGCGCAATTGCAAACCTCTACGAGCTCCCTTCTTCGCCGACCGACCTCTCCCGCATCGCAAGGCAGGGCTCTGGCTCCGCGTGCCGCTCGCTTTTCGGCGGATATGTAGGCTGGGAACAGGGCTCCGCTTCGGATGGTAGTGATAGTGTTGCGTTCCAGGTTGCGCCTGCAAGTCACTGGCCCAATATGCGCGCTGTGATCCTGGTTGTTAGCGCAGCCAAGAAGGGTGTGTCGAGTACCTCTGGTATGCAGATCACTGTTGCTACATCCAGCCTCTTCCAGTCAAGAGCTACCGAGACGGTCCCAAAGCGCATGAAGGAGATGCAGAAGGCGATCCAGGACAAGGACTTTGAGGCCTTTGGCAAGCTTACCATGATGGACAGCAACTCTTTCCACGCTACTTGCCTCGACACCTTCCCCCCAATCTTCTACCTCAACGACGTTTCTCGTGCGGCTATCAAGGTTGTTGAGAGCATCAACGCTGCAGCGGGCAAGATTATCGCTGCGTACACTTTCGATGCGGGCCCAAACGCTGTTGTGTACTACCTTGAGGAGAACGAGAAGGAGGTTGCTGGTCTGTTCAAGCAGATCCTGAACGAGAAAGACGGATGGCAAGGCGAGAGGGGCCAGGCTGTTCAGGCCAACGCCGACGCGCTTGAGAAGGTCAAGTTTGACGCCGGTCCCGCCATCACATTCTTGGAAGAGGGTGTCAGCAGAGTCATCTTGACAGGTGTTGGTGAAGGTCCAGTCAAGACTGAAGAGAGCTTGATTGATGAGAAGGGCGAACCCGTCAACAGCGCATAGAGCGGATGGCTAGCTAGATTACAGAGCGTTGTGTAGATACCCGGAAGGTAACGATCCTGTTACACCCCTAAACATATCATCCGTCGTCATCATCATCAGTGTCAACTTTGACCCTGTCCAGGCGAGACATCACACGCTTCTTGGTCCGTGACATGTGGCGATACCAGCAAGAAGCCTTCTCTTTATCGTCCACATGGCCGTGATAGCTACATCTGTCGAGCTCGAAGTTCTTCGTAGGGATAGTGCCTCTCTTGCACTCGTAGCCCACCCTCTGGTAGAAACGTATTAGGAAATCCTTGGGTAAGTTGTGCATCGTGACCGGATCCATTTGAACTCTCTTCGGAGATGTCCATGTCGCATAGTGTAGATCCACAAAAAGGTCCAGGATTGGGTCTGTGGGTGGTAGGTTGTCGAAGGCGTAGATAATCGCTGCATGGGTCCAGAAATCCTCAAGGGATATCTTCCGGTTCAAGCTTGTTCGCAAAGAAAGAACAGCGAACCTGTCGGCAAACACGTACAGCTGGATCTTCCACATGTTGTCGTCTGGATCAAACTTGTTCGCCCAGAGTACTTCGTCACTAGGCATGTTCTGGGTATACAGCCATTCAATGAAGAGACTGAAAACGTCAGGGTCAATGTCGACCAGCCGCACCACTTTGTCTTCGGCCTCCTTCCAGGGTCCATTCAGAGCTTTCGAGAAATATTCGGAATAGTGTGTGAGGAAAGCCGCCTGCACGTGGTACTTGAGGCCTTCCGGACCAACTTCGACGATCACGTTGTCGGGACCGCCGTGTTGTGCGGTTTTACTAGAGCAGTGTCAGACATAGGCCTCGTGTCAAGGAGAGTCACTTACGCATGGAGTGGCCGATCGGTCGTTTTCTTTCGACGCGACAGGATAGGCATGACTCCTGTTTGAGTAGACCTCGGGACAATGACGATGACGTGCGAAGTGTTGATGTCGGGTCGAGTCGGTGGTTCCCACGCCGCTTGGGAAAGACGCAGAAGTCTCGTGAAGGAGGTACGCTGCAAATATTGTGAAGATCAAGAGCAGATGGAACGAGAAGCGAGGTAGCTGAATATGGGTAGGGATTCATTTTAGCGTCGCTTCCCAAACAGTCGGACCCTGACCAAGAGTGAATGGTAAGGAAGGAGCGAACAAGCCCAAAGAAGAAAATGGACAGTAGTGAGAGAGGAAATATTGCACGTAGATTAGATGTGACCTTGCTAAGACTAGAGCCACTGCAGGCCATGCGGTAGACAGCCAAACTTCATAGCTGGCAAAAACACGATTCGAAAACGACAGAAATTTGCAATGAAATGCACCATGGTATAAGATCCCCCCAAGTATACAATGCAACGCCGAAACAAGCAGAACCAACCATTACAGAGATGATTCATATATCATCTAATCCAAAACGACCGCAAGAATGATGATGACCAAAACGATAGCGAGAATGAGCAGCAGAATGCACGCCTTACTCCTTGCGCTCTTCTGGTAGTTGCTCGCCTGCTTGAGGTTCACATGTGCACCACGCGACGCATCATGCGTGACCTCGACGTTCTCCTCAATAATGTCGAGTTGAGCACCCTGCTCATGCACCATATGCGCAACATCACGGAACAGTTCGTTGAGTTCCCCAACCGACTGCTCGATGTTGCGGATCTCAGACTCGCGCTCGATGATCATCGATTCCTGGAAGTCGACCTCATCCTGGTTTGCCAAGCGCAGCTGTTCCTGCTCTTGTTGTTGCCCAAAGTCTCCTCCCCGCTCTTCGCTTGGCGATGATACGTCTTGCAGGGCTGTGCGTGCCGCTTGTGCCGACTGCTTCTCTTTCTCTAGTGCTTGCTTCTGGAGGTGTTGGAACTCGGTGAGTGTTGCTTTGAATTCGCGCTGGAGCTTCGATTGCGTGAACTTCTGCGAGGGCTGTGGTCTGTTAGCTATCGGCTTCCATCTCAAGAACGAGGCATCCATACCCCGACGTCAGGCCAGGTGGTGATCTTCTTCAATCCCTCTCCGAGCTCTTTGAACTTTTCCGATGTCTCTTCGACGGTGGTCTTCACGCGCTCGCGCACACGGGCGGTCTCGTGCTTGGTCCCTAGCTTGCCCGTCTCTTGCGACAGGCGGGCGACGTTGCGGGTCAGGGCGAAGAGGTCGTCGGAAAGCTTGTCGGCGAAGTCGCGGAACTCTGGGTCATCGGCGTATGACGGATCGTCGTCCCTTCGCCATGTCGTGGGTTGCGATTCGAGGGCGCTGGAGCGTTGGAACGACATGGTGCCGGATAAGAGAGGCGGCACTCGGCGGTCTTCTAGAAGAGTGTCTGGACGATGTTTGAAGCTATGCGATCGTGTATGGGGTTGTTGCAGCCTAGTACGCAAGTCCAATCGTGGCTACCTGGAGGTTGGTGCTCGGTGGTTCCTGCGGCGATGACGAAGGACCGCGGCTAGGGCACATGGCTCAAGGCACAAGCGGATCCCTTAGGTAAGCGTGCAGCTGTCGGCGACGAAGTGGTAGCTGCGCCGATCAACAATGTTTGTTTGATAAAGTCGGGCAGCTTTCCTTGCTGCAGTACACCAGACTGCCGCACCAGCGCGTTCGAATTATCCTTGGCGCGACGCCATCCTTCTGCTTCTTTGCTATGATATAGCCCGTTCCTCACTAATACGCTCACTCCGCCCCGAACTGTCGCAAACATGGCGCTCGCACCGCTGGGAACGCAAGTGCGCCCGTACAGAGACTACCTGACGCCAGCTCTGCACCGAAGATTCAACAAGGCCAGTCGATACACGCTGCTGCTATGCTATGCGATCGCGTGCTGGATGGGAGAATGGGACAACAGTGAGAGACATTGAATGAAATCCAGACACACCTACTAACAGAAACAGTGCTATGGCTGTGGTTTCCTCTAGGCCTCACTGGCATTCGGACTCTGCTCATCTTCCTCTCCGCCCTTTCCATCTACGTCCTTCGCGTCGCCCAGTGGCATGTTGGCCGCCGCCAAACAGAGACCCGATTCGAGACGTTCAAGAAATACTTCTTCCGTCCTGCGACGCTGATCACCCTTGTCGCATACGCCTTCTCCGCCATGCTATTTGTCGAGACGTACATCTGGTCGCGGGGCACCCAAGCCAGGCTCAACTTTATCGAGGCCGGCCGCATGCACGAGCGATTCCGGCTGAACGAGAGACCGCTCTACCTGCGCTATCTCTTCTACCTACTATCAGCAGCACAATCTGGAGTACACTTGTGGAGGGACTACGACAAGATTGAGTTGCAGGCGATGAAGCCTAAGAAGGAGCGGGGTGAAGCGACCACTTCCGCCTCAGCGCGACGGGGCCCCAAGCCCAGACATGTCCTTACGAGATCGCTCAAGGGCATTGCAACACAGTCGACCTTCTTGGCTTCGGTCATTGCAGCTGCCGGTTTCTGTCTTTACTACCTCGGAACCCGAAACCTGATCTGGAGCTACTACTACAGCTTCAGTCGATACCTCTGGAGCTTGTCCAAGACTTCCACACCTACAGGACTTGCTCCGTTCCTGCCTCTGTGCTTCATGTTCGTCACAGAAGGAACGCTTCTCGTTGTGCTTTGGGAGTTTGTCAACAAGACCTTCGATGTGTACCTCGCACAAGAGCCCTTGAAGAACGATGTGCCCATCACGAACGACTCTACCGACCCCAATGGATCCCTTCTGAATGGACTCAAGTCGAAGAAGGATACTGTCAAAGTAAGACGAAGCGATACTATTAATCTGTTCACTGCTAACTAACTCAGGCCATTGCTTTCTGGGAGCTAGCCCTCATCACCGACGCCTTTCCCGAGCGCCGCAAGACTATCTACAGCGAGATGGATCGTAAGAAGGCCCCAACACATCAGCAAGTTACGGACATCTGTCTGGGACAGCTCAAGTGGCTTATCGAACGCGTCAGTGCTGGTCTCGATCCAGCCTACCAGCCCAGCGACGCATCAGGTCCAGACAAGCCAACCGGGCCTATCAATTTGGTTCCTCGTATCGCACAACCGCTGAAGGACGACAAGCCGATTGCTGCTGCGCCACCACAACCAAGTACTAGGTGGGAACATGTCGAAGCAGCAACCGCCAGTATTGCAAAGTCACACAGCGCTCCAGGAAACGCACAGCAAGCATACAGTCGGGAAGCGATCAACAAAGGAATGAAGAAGGCCCAAGAAGGTGCCAGGGAAGCTGAGTCGTTCTTCACGACTTATTACAACAAGCTTGTTTCTTCCCCGGTTGGCCTACTGTTCCAGCATTCCTTCCAACGGACGTCGAACATTGTCGTCCTCGGCGCACCTTACTCTCAACTTTCCCAAGTTTGCAATGCCGCGACTGCACTAGCAAATCTTGCGGTGTTTTCTCTTGCCGAAGACAGCTTAGGACGCTTTCACCAAGGAATCCCAAGCATAGTGCGTATATTCACTATTGCGTTGAAGAAGATCGATGAGTACATGGAAACAGCTCCGATCCATTGGAGTGACAAGGAGACGAACGGCAAGCCAGAAGCGGAGAGGAGGAAAGTGCCTGAAGTAGATGAAGCCAGAGAATGTCTCAGACAAGGTCTGGAGATGGTCCTTGGCAGCTTCAACGAATACCTGAGCGGTATGGGTCTCAGCAGGCTGGAGATTATGGAGGCAAAGAAGGTGGTAGGTGTCAAGAAAGCACCAGAAATGATTCAGGCGGGTGCGAAATAGTAGATGGCAAATTTCCGCAGCCAGATCTCGTAGAAACATTTGAACGAACCCGTTATAGACACCTGCTCAAGTTCCATAAATCGCAGTGCTACCAAGACTCTTCCATCGCCCAGGACCATCGCATAATCAGTTTACGACACTCCCAAACCGATCGTCCCCCATCGGCCTCCCCGTCGCCCATCGCATTACGCCAAGCCCACCTCCCCTTCCTAAGATCGTCTACATCAGCTCTGCCAACCAGCAAATCAAAGCCTTGAACCCATCATCGCCCCCAACGAGGAAGATGCCAGATGCCAGACAACCGATGCAGATTGCTACATCATGCAGCTGTCATTGGTCCTGTCAGACATGACCTCGCTGTTTCAAACGAACGTCGGTTCCAGGGGTAAACACGATGGGCGCGCTAGCGCCCCACATAGGCCAACTCGCCGGGTTGCGCGTCCGATGGATCCATATCGTGATAGGGAAGGAGAGAGAGCCAAGGACGTCATGTTGGGTGAGGCTTGCGTGGTGCATGGCGCGATGGCGTTGGTGCTTTCTTTCGTCTAGACTGTTTTACGTCCTTGTCTTCTTTCTGTTATTCACGATAACTTGGGTTTTCTGTGGCGTTTGGAAAGCTTGAGGGACTGTTTACCTACTTGTACCTTTTGGATGATCATACCCGCATTGTCCTTCTTTTCAGCCGCACGTCCTACCTAGGTACCATTCGTTCAGGCGGGTATTGCGTAGTCGTTATCTTTCCTTCTTCTTGTGTATACGTTTACTGCGCCTTGTTATTTACATTTGTTCCTGGCGATTGGATTGGATTGGATTCGTGCCGGCTGAAGGCGAACGGGACGCGTTAACAATATCGCATTTGGAATCTGGAAAGCGACTTTGATACCACGATTCCTTGAGAAGACGATACAGAGCGTTTGGAAAGGCGAAAGGACTGAAGAGCTCAGACTCTAGACATCGACGTCACAACACCATGCACACCTACCTGCCGACCTGGCTCGCGCTCTCAACGGCAGCAATCCTACCCACAGCGACAGCATTCTATCCTTACCACTATACCTCCGGCAAGACAGCCTCCACATCAACGCACTCGCACCGGACCTCTCCACAACCACCGCCCTCCCAAGCAGGAACCACGCGCTCCATAACGCTCCCGCTCCGTCGCATACGCACACCCTCATTACGATCCCGCCAAAAC